AAGGAATTATGTATATCTATTTTAGTAACAAATAAAGCAGTTAGACATTCCACACTGATCTCACTGTGGGTTTGTCAGAGACTTCACTCACTATAACCTCTTATTAAAACTCATACCTTATACCAGTTGCTGTACCCAGCAGCCAAACACAAATACTAGTTTTCTGGATACTGTTTCCAAACCATACAAGAGATCAGACATTGAAGCCACAACCCAATCAAATCTCCACTTTGCTCAAACCAGTGTGGCTCAGACTAGCAAAATTCTCCAAATACAGTAAAAGCCTTTCTCATAGCAAAGAACTACTAGTCCAGCATATACTAATAAGTAGAAGTGCCATCTCCAACAGCAGTAAAGAGGTTAAGTAGGCTGTTCGACAGGATCAGCTACTCTTAATAAATTTGAACTGCATGGTAGAAGCAGCATTTCGAGAATACATTTAACAATCTCTGTTCACATGAAAGCCCAAATGCAACTTCTAAAATAATACCTCTTAGATCATGTGTATCCAGTATTTGAGCTTCAATTGCTTCAGATTTGCCGTAGTTACTTGCTCAATGCAAAAGCATGAGGAACAAAGTGATTACTGTACATAAATATAAAAACTGAGCTAAATTTAGTAGCTGGACATGCCCTCAAGGTACAAGTAGTTGAATGACCATATAGAAATAAAGGCATCTCAGAGATGCTTAATATATAAACAATCAAAAGAGAATTTAAATGGTAACCAGAAATTATCTTTATCAGTTCCAAGAATAGAAAGTTGTTTTTTTGGAACTTTAAAGAACACAAAATTTAATGCTCGAAAAGTTCAAAACTAATGAAATTGGATGGTGCCAAAGAAGAAAATTTAGGCCAAGTCACAAATGGCTGTAGTATTCATGGGGAGAACTTTTTTTTTTTTTTTTATACCCGTAGTGTCCGGGTCAGCTTGCGCGCACCTCCATTAATTTCACGTGATACCTGCTACCTCCCACTAGCAATAGGTACCAGGTAACTCTACCCACCAAGGCTTGAACAGATGGGAAGAAATCACCTAGTGTTTTTTTCCTTCACTGAGATTTGAACCTGAGACCTCATGGTTCTCATCACTTCACTACGCCACGCCCTTGGGAGCTTCATGAGAATAATTTTTCAGCAGAGGAAATATTTAGCAATAGGAGGGAACCTACAAAATGGCCAGCAGTATTTTCAACTGAAGTGAATTTAGTAGGATCAGGTCAATCAATAAATCATTTAATCAACCATGCATCGATCCCAAAATAGTCGGATCTTCTAATTCAATTAGCTCAGTGTGCATGGATTTCAAAGAATTGTAGGTCTTTCTACATAACTTCCCTCCATGTGAATTAAGGTCTGTGTCGTCCTTGAGCACTTCAATTATCATGGGGGCAAACCTACGAATTGGTGCATAGGTCTATGTAGGAGATAGGAATGGCAATGGGACGGTGCGGGTGCGGGGCGGTGTGGGTTTAAACATATGCGGGGC